TAAATACTGATTGGGTTACCAATGACATCAAAGAAGAAATTAAAAACATCCTGGAAACTAATGGCAATGAAAACACAACAATCCAAAACCTTTGGGACGCAATGAAAGCAGTCCTGAGAGGGAAGTTTATAGCTCTACAGGCCTATCTCAACAAACAAGAAAAAATGGTAGTAAATCATCTAAATCTACAGCTCAAAGAATTAGAAAGAGAGCAACAAGAAAACCCCAGAGTGAGCAGAAGGAAGGAGATAATAAATATTAGAGCAGAAATAAATGACATAGAGAACAAAAAAATAATACAGAAAATCAATGAAACAAAGAGCTGGTTCTTTGAAAGGATAAACAAGATTGACAAACCTCTAGCCAGGCTCACCAAGAAGCAAAGAGAAAGGACCCAAATCAACAAAATCAGAAATGATAGAGGCGAAATAACAACAGATCCCACAGAAATACAAATGATTGTTAAAAAATACTATGGACAACTCTACTCCAACAAACTAGACAACCTGGAGGAAATGGACATATTCCTAGAAAAATACAACATTCCAAAACTTAATCAGGAAGAATCTAAAAATCTCAATAGGCCAATAACTATGGAAGAAATTGAAGCAGTCATCAAAAAGCTTCCAGCAAACAAAAGCCCAGGACCAGACGGCTTCACAGGGAAGTTTTACCAAACTTTCAAGGAAGAACTAAAACCTATCCTCCTCAGACTACTACAAAAAATCCAAGAGGAAGGAATACTTCCAAGCTCATTCAATGAAGCCAGCATCACCGTAATACCAAAACCAGGTAAAGATAACACAATGAAAGAGAATTACAGGCCAATATCCCTCATGAACATAGATGCCAAAATCCTCAACAATATCTTAGCAAATCGGATCCAGCAGTACATCAGAAAGATCATACACCACGACCAAGTAGGATTTATCCCAGGGATGCAAGGATGGTACAATATCCGCAAATCAATAAACGTGATACATCACATAAACAAATTGAAAGAAAGAAACCACATAGTCATATCAATTGATGCAGAAAAAGCATTTGACAAAATTTAACACCCATTTTTGAAAAAACTCTCAGCAAGGTGGGAATTGAAGGATCATACCTCAACATAATAAAAGCCATATAATGACAGGCCCACAGCCAACATCATACTCAATGGACGAAAACTAACACCATTTCCCCCAAGAACAGGAACAAGACAGGGATGCCCACTCTCAGTACTCCTGTTCGACATAGTACTGGAAGTATTAGCCATTGCAATTAGACAAGAAGAAGAAATAAAAGGCATCCAAATTGGAAAAGAAGAAGTAAAACTGTCCTTATTTGCAGATGACATGATATTATACTTAAAAAACCCTAAAGATTCCATCAATAAACTATTAGACTTAATAAAAGAATTTGGCAATGCACCAGGATACAAAATTAACGCCAAGAAATCTATTGCATTCCTATACACCAATAGTGAATGTGCAGAAAGAGAGACTAAAAAAGCAATCCCATTTACCATGGCACCAAAAAAATTAAGCTACCTAGGAATAAACTTAACTAAAGAGGTAAAAGACCTCTTCTCAGAAAACTACAGGACGTTGAAAAAAGAGATAGAGGAAGACATAAAGAGATGGAAGAACATACCATGTTCTTGGATTGGTAGAATCAACATCATTAAAATGTCCATACTGCCCAAAGCAATCTATGAATTCAACGCACTTCCCATTAAAATACCAATGGCATATTTCACAGACCTAGAACGTACTCTCCAAAAATTCATCTGGAATAAAAAACTACCCCGAATAGCTGCAGCGATCCTGAGAAAGAACAAAGTAGGTGGGATCTCAATACCAGATATCAAGCTGTATTACAAAGCCACTCTTCTCAAAACTGCCTGGTACTGGCACAAGAACAGACTTATAGATCAATGGAATAGAATAGAGGGCCCAGAAATCAGCCCCAACCAATACGCTCAATTAATATTTGACAAAGGAAGCAAGAACATACAATGGAGTCAAGATAGTCTCTTCAATAAATGGTGTTGGGAAATTTGGACAGATATATGCAATAAAATGAAACTAGACCACCAACTTACACCATACACAAAAATAAACTCAAAATGGATAAAAGACTTAAATGTACGACAGGAAACCATGCAAATACTAGAAGAATCCAAAGGCAACAAAATCTCAGACATATGCCAAAGCAATTTCTTCACCGATACAGCTCCTAAGGCATTGGAAACTAAAGAGAAAATAAACAAATGGGACTACATCAAAATAAAAAGCTTCTGCACAGCAAAAGAAACCATCAACAAAACAACAAGAAAACCCACTGCGTGGGAAAACATATTTGCCAATGTCATATCTGATAAGGGCCTAATCTCCAAAATTTATACGGAACTCATACAACTTAACAAAAGGAAGATAAACAATCCAATAAAATAATGGGCAAAGGATCTAAATAGACACCTTTCAAAAGAGGACATTCAGAAAGCCAAGAGACATATGAAAACATGCTCAAAGTCACTAATCATCCGAGAGATGCAAATCAAGACAACAATGAGGTACCATCTCACACCTGTGAGACTGGCTATCATCAACAAATCAACAAACGACAAGTGCTGGAGAGGATGTGGAATAAAAGGAACACTTGTGCACTGCTGGTGGGAATGCAGACTGGTGCAGCCACTATGGAAGACAGTATGGAGTTTCCTCAAAAAACTACAAATGGAACTCCCATTTGACCCTGTGATCCCACTTCTAGGAATATATCCCAGGAAACCAGAAACACCAATCAGAAAGGATATATGCACCCCTATGTTCATAGCAGCACAATTCACCATAGCTAAGATCTGGAGACAGCCTAAGTGCCCATCTGTAGATGAATGGATTAGAAAACTGTGGTACATCTACACGATGGAATACTATGCTGCTGTAAAAAAGAAGGAACTCTTACCATTTGCAACAGCATGGATGGAACTGGAGAGCATTATGCTAAGTGAAATAAGCCAATCAATAAAGGAAAAATACCACATGATCTCACTCATTTCTGGACAATAAAGACCATTATAAACATATGAACAAAAATAGATACAGAGGCAGAGCTGCCTCAAACAGATTGTCAAACTGCAGCGGGAAGGCCGGGGAGGGTTGGGGGGCAGGAGGTAGGGGGGTAAGAGATCAACTAAAGGACTTGTATGCATGCATATAAGCATAACCAATGGACATAAGACACTGGGGGATAGGGGAGGCTAGGGGACTGTCTAGGGCGGGGGGATAAAATGGACACATATGTAATACCCTTTGTAATACTTTAAGCAATAAATAATAATAAAAAAAAAGACATAATCAACCAACAGATTTAATACTGTCCTCTAGATTTTGTATGAGGCATACTCAGATCTCATTTAATTCAGTATTATGTCATTTCAAGATACTTAAGTATAAACTCCAAGGTCTTAAATTTCCCAGCAGCTTTGGAAAACCGCACTTGAGGCTGGCAAGGCAGGCCTGGCCCAGCCTTTGATTTTAAAACGACCATAATTTTCTCCTCTGGGGAAGGTCAAGAAACAAGGTTGTAGCTACATTGTTTCCTGCCCCTTGCTTGCAGGTGGGAAGTTTCAAAATTGGCCTGGGGGAGGAAGGGGGGGGGGCTGTTTTCCCTGGAAGAACAGGTTTGGCCTACCCTGGACCAATCAGATGTAAATTGACCACATTCTTTAAGAATTTGCTACAGGCAGGAAGCAACTAGTCCCTTTTCTCCTTAGAAATGTTTTGGCCAGCCTTTTCAATTAACTATGAGATTCAAATTCAATTATTTTAAGGCAATTACTTTAGCAAATTTTTGTAACAGAGACAATTTTACTGATTTTCCTTCTAGAGGTGTTAAAGTTAGCTTTGGAATAGGCTTCATTAACATTATTATGGAAAAATACCAATATTGTTGCTAGAATTTCTACCCTGGGTCAAATTCGCCATTTTCTTTAGGAAATAATCAGTCTTGGGTTTTATTCTGCACATTTGTAAAGAAATTCCAGCTCAAAACTCTATCTAAATGTCCAAAATCAGAACGAGCGCGCATTAGTTCCAAGCCAAGTTTTCTCTTTACACGTGAACAGAAATCCCAGACGCATTTTAAATTTTTGTAAAACTTTTCAATTACAAGAAGGAGACTGTAAATTACAGGAGGCGTCCATATTGGATCGCCATGTGCTCCCTTTTCCTTTCCACCCCATCCTGCTTTTGGAGGAAGTTTCAGCAAATGACTCAGATGGAGTATTTTCCCCAAAGTCATGCTTAATAGAAAAAGACATTTTAAGTTTTTCCCTATTTCGCTTTCTAAAGCAATGGCTAGCACCCAAGGTTATCTTTGCCAAAGTTTGGTTGTCATAAGATGTTCTCTGGTAATTTTTAAATAAAACATTAAGTAACCTCATTGTGGGAGAGCTTATAGCTCTGCCCTTTCCTGCCACGTTTGAATCTCTCCACACCAGAGGCGGACTCGGCAGCAGGGTTTCATTTCTTATTACAGATTTTAGATTCCAAATACAAATTAAGATTTCACTTTGGACAAGAAACCACATTAAGATGACCATGGCACTCTTTTTTCAGCCTGATCTAAAAGAGTACCTTTTTCAAGAAAAACAAAGGTTATGTTCTATAATAACATGCAAAAACTGTAAAAGATTACCTTCTAAAATTTTAACACTTTAAACATGCAAATCAAAAGCCTATAATAAAGTTTCTTAGTTTTTAAAAGCCAAATGTACCTTTTTAAAGCCGAATCTACTTTCTTAAAGCCAAATCCTGCCCCGTTTGTTAGACTGGTTAAGAAAACGTTCCCAGTGTACTTACAGACCCGGGCTTCTGTAGTTGATCCTGGGCATTGCGTGCGGTAGACTTCCCCTCACCTTTTTTCGGTGAGTTTTCCACACCTTTTTGGTGAAAACTTCCTTTTCTCGCTCCAGCGAGGCCTGCACTTCCAGATTATCCATCGGGTGCCAGATGTCGAGTAAGACTCCCTCCAAGTTCTGCGTGGAGTAGGGTTCCGTATCTGAAAGAGGAGCCACACAACAAATGAGAGAAAAAGACAGGAGATAATTTTGCAATATTGGGGGACCAGGCGGCAAGTCCCAAAGGACTTCCCTGTGGGAAACTGTTTATTGCCTTCACTATCTGATAAGCATAGACAGAGAACTCCCCGAAACCCCCAAAGGCTGGGTGCCTTTGAAGCCCTAGCAAAGCTCGGAGCTAGGCACCACCTCTGTTTGTCCAGACAGTGGTAGCTGAAACTACTCCCCCATTTATTATTATGTAAATCCTTGCTGATGGGCTAGTCTGCTTGTTACTAGGGGGTCACCTGCCTAAGGGCTATGCTATGGGTGCATCCCAGATCAATAAAAGCTTGGTGAGGCCTGAGCACGGAGGAAGTCCTTCGAGACTTGCCGCCTGGTCCCCCAATATTGCAAAATTATCTCGTGTCTTTTTCTCTCATTTGTTGTGCAGCTCCTCTTTCAGATACCGAACCCTACTCCACGCGGAACGTGGAGGGAGTCTTACTCGACACTTCCCCAGATGCTCAGGCCGCTCCAATCTTTTATTGATCTGGAGTAGCCCTTAGGGTAAGGAGGTTTCAATGACACACAGATCAGCAGACAATTTCCAGGAATAGACAAAGTATCTGATTAGCTCATCAATAGATTTCTGGGAGTATCTGATTAACAATAATCAACAAGGATCTACATAAGTATCTAAGGAATTAAGTGAACTAAGGTGGGGATGCTTCAACTATTATTACCTAAATTAACTGAGTGGTTCCTAGATTAAGTGGGTGGTGCATAGCCCTGACCTTTGCTAGGACTTTCAAGCCCTGACCTTTACTAGGACTTTCAAGGGCTACTAGCTTTTGGGGGTCTCTGTCTAAACTCAGCTAGTGAAGACAATGAATGGACTCCAGCAATCATTGATGTTTCTATCTCTCGCTTCCTCTCCTTTCCTCTCTAAAATCAATAAAAATATGTTTTTTAAAAAGGAGGAGGAAGTGGAGGAGGGAGAAAAGAAGGGTAAAAAAAAAACAGAGAAATAGAGTTAAAAGAATAAAATGGCAATAATTACGTTCCTATCAATAATCACTCTAGTCTAGATCTTTCAAATGTGTTCGCTGCCGCCGCCGCAATTGCTCTCCAATGCCTGTGCCGCCTCCAGCTCGCTGAGTTCTAGCCGAAGGAGAAGGGGGGTAAGTGAAGAGGTCCCTGCACCATGGCGCAGACCACCGGCAAGTCGACCAGGGCAAAGCGCTGCGGAAGCAGCTGGCGACCAAAGCCACTCAGAAGAGTGTGCCCTCCACTGGAGGGGTGAAGAAGCCACATAGCTACAGGCCTGGTACCCTGGCACTTCGTGAAATTAGACGTTATCAGAAGTCCACTGAGCTGCTCATTCGCAAGTTACCCTTCCAGCATCTGGTGCGAGAAATTGCTCAGGACTTCAAAACAGACCTGTGCTTCCAGAGCGCAGCCATTGGTGCTTTGCAGGAAGCAGGTGAGGCCTATCTGGTTGGCCTGTTTGAAGACACCAACCTGTGTGCTATCCATGCCAAAAGTGTAACAATTATGCCAAAAGACATCCAGCTAGCATGCTGCATCTGTGGAGAACGTGCTTAAGAATCCACTATGATGGAAAACATTTCATTCTTTTAAAAAATTTTCTCTTCTTCCTGTTATTGGTAGTTCTGAATGTTAGGTTTGTGTTTTTTTTTCCCCATGGGGTCAAAAGGTACCTAAGTATATGATTGCAAGTTGAAAATAGGGGACAGAAATCAGATATTTGGCAGTTTTTCCATTTTCATTTGTGTGTGATTTTTTTTTAATATAAATGCTGGGACATAAAGCATTAATGCAAGTCAAATGTTTCAGTGAGCAAGTTTCAGCAGTTAAACTTTATCCTATCTAATAAAAGACAAAAAGGGTAATTAACTGTACTTTCACTATGCTTCCCATTGGCTAATCAGAGTGATATGCAAATTAACCGCCAACAAAGATGGCGGTTAATTTGCATATGTGCAATGATGGGAGGCGAAAGGGGAAGGACTGAAGACTGGTGATCGGAAACCCAGGCAGTAGGCAAGAGCTGGGGGGTGGGCAAAGGTGATCGCCATCGGAAAGTCTGGCAGCAGGCAAGGCAACAACCCCTGGCCGGGGGTGCCGGCTGGCCTGCGGCCCCATGATCCCCATGGCAGTCGGAGGGAGAAAGAGCTGGGGCGTAGGCCAGGCGGCACCCAGGCACCCCAGCACCTGACATGCAAAGATCGGGGATGAAATGACTTTTCCCAACCACATCTGCAAATATCCTGGGAAAGGCATCACTGAAGAGTTCACAACTCTCTTACTTGGCAAGGAACAAAAAAGTTGGCAATGGAAACAATTCCTTACATCAAAGTTAAGGTTCCTCTGGGTAAAAAAGAATATTTCCAACATAAAGTAGGGAGCAGGCAAAAATAATAGGTTCTCATGACTTCCACTGAAGATTGAGCATATGACAGAGTCAAAACGAACATACAAATTAAAACAGACAGTGGGCATTCAAATGACCCGAATCAACTGTCACTGTTTGTCCCAATAGCAGCAATGCTTATGTGACAATATAGTTTAACAAACATACAAAACAAGTCACATGATAAGAGAGGTTCGGCTTCTAAAGTAAATTGAATATGTTCTTTAAAAATTCTCATGTCCCTCCTTCTGACTATAATTCTTAATTTTCCAATCAGAAAATTACCCCAGGTGATCCAGTAACATGTAGAACTCCAGTAACCTAGCTTATTTAAAAAACAAACATCCTTTTGGGAGAACCAAGATGGCGGCATAGGTTAACGCCGGAGTTTGCTGCCTTGAACAACTACTTCAAAAGTGAAACTAAAAGACGGAAGGGACATCACCCAGAACCACAGGAACGCTGGCTGAGTGGAAGTCCTACAACTAGGAGGAAAGAGAAACGCGTACAGACACTCAGAGGAGGCGCGGTGCTGAAGTCAAATTCTGAGGTGCGGAGTGTGCGGAGCGGGCTGGCGGCGGAGGGCACGGTTGGCGTTTTCAATCGGGAGGGAGTCGCAGACTCTGAGCTCCAGATACGGGCGAGTCTCTAGGGACCCTGACTCAAACGGGAGAAGCGGGACTGTCTGGCTTCGGTCAGAGCGAGTGCAGCTTTCTCTCCGAGCTTTGCAGCGGGTGCTGGGACTCAGAGAGGCAGAGCCCCTGGGGACGGGACTGAGAGCCGCCATAACTGCTCTCTCCGGCCCACCCTGTTGATCCTGTGCGACCCGCCCCGCCCAAGCCCTGCACACAGGCATTTGCCCGATAGCCTCAGGCAAAGGCTAGATTAGCACCTCCCTAGAGGACAGAAGTTCTCTCACTGCTGACACAGCTGATTCTCATAGCCACTTGGCCTGGAGGTCAAACCCTCCCTGGTATTAGCTACAACAAGGTTTAACTATAAGACTGCGAACAAAGACCACTAGGGGGTGCACCAAGGAAGCATAACAAAATGCGGAGACAAAGAAACAGGACAAAATTGTCAATGGAAGATATAGAGTTCAGAACCACACTTTTAAGGTCTCTCAAGAACTGTTTAGAAGCCGCCGATAAACTTAATGAGATCTACAAGAAAACTAATGAGACCCTCGATGTTATATTGGGGAACCAACTAGAAACTAAGCATACACGGACTGAAATAACGAATATTATACAGACTCCCGACAGCAGACCAGAGGAGCGCAAGAATCAAGTCAATGATTTGAAATGCGAGGAAGCAAAAAACACCCAACTGGAAAAGCAAAATGAAAAAAGAATCCAAAAATGCGAGGATAGTGTAAGGAGCCTCTGGGACAGCTTCAAGCGTACCAACATCAGAATTATAGGGGTGCCAGAAGATGAGAGAGAGCAAGATATTGAAAACCTATTTGAAGAAATAATGACAGAAAACTTCCCCCACCTGGTGAAAGAAATGGACTTACAGGTCCAAGAAGCGCGGAGAACCCCAAACAAAAGGAATCCAAAGAGGACCACACCAAGACACATCATAATTAAAATGCCAAGAGCAAAAGATAAAGAGAGAATCTTAAAAACAGCAAGAGAAAGAAACTCAGTTACCTACAAGGGAATACCCATACGACTGTCAGCTGATTTCTCAACAGAAACTTTGCAGGCCAGAAGGGAGTGGCAAGAAATATTCAAAGTGATGACTACCAAGAACCTACAACCAAGATTACTTTATCCAGCAAAGCTATCATTCAGAATTGAAGGTCAGATAAAGAGCTTCACAGATAAGGAAAAGCTAAAGGAGTTCATCACCACCAAACCAGGATTATATGAAATGCTGAAAGGTATCCTTTAAGAAGAGGAAGAGGAAGAAAAAGGTAAAGATACAAATTATGAACAACAAACATGCATCTATCAACAAGTGAATCTAAGAATCAAGTGAATAAATAATCTGATGAACAGAATGAACTGGTGATTATAATAGAATCAGGGACATAGAAAGGGAATGGACTGACCATTCTTGGGGGGGAAAGGGGTGTGGGAGATGCGGGAAGAGACTGGACAAAAATCGTGCACCTATGGATGAGGACAGTGGGTGGGGAGTGAGGGCGGAGGGTGGGGTGGGAACTGGGAGGAGGGGAGTTATGGGGGGGAAAAAGAGGAACAAATGTAATAATCTGAACAATAAAGATTTAATTTAAAAAATAAATAAAACAAACAAACAAACATCCAAACCATTTTTAAAATATTTAAATTGGTATTTTAGGGTTAAAATTATAGAAGATTTTTAGATCTAAATATATTTTCTGAATAGAAAATATTTCAGTTTTTGATTTTAAAAAAATAAACATAAAAAATATATAAGTGACACATTTTCCCAAGGAACTCTGAATTAGTACCTTTCCCTCTAACTTTCTTCAAATTAAGAGAATCTATGGAGTTCCCTATACTGCACAAGTTTTAATGAAATAAAATAAGACTTTCTAAGAGCATCAAATACATGTTTTCTTATTTACAAATATATATACTCTTCTCTCTCTCTCTCCCTTTAAAATATATTCTTACTGATTCAGAGAGGAAGGGAGAGGGAGAGAGATAGAAACATCAATGATGAGAGAGAATCATTGATCGGCTGCCTCCTACATGCCCCGTACTGGGGATCAAGCCCACAACCAGGGCATGTGACCTGACCTGGAATCAAACTGTGATTCCTGGTTCATAGGTCGATGCTAAACCACTGAGTCACACCAGCCGGGCTCAATTCTTATTTATAAATTCATTCCAAGGACATATACAGCTTGAAAAGCTTTGGAAGCAGTTTCAAAAAAAACTAGCTTTTAAGTAACAAGAAAACAGTTATAGAAGAAAGTTTAAATTAAAAGAAAAAATTGTTTTAATTTATTCAAAAGTGAGAACATCCTCCATGAAAATGTGTACCTTGACTGTGGATGGCTGGGTGGCCTTATCACGCCTTAGGAATTCCAATGCTTTTTACAATGACAAGAAAGAGAGTTTCATCTCATTTCTCGCCCAGGGTAGATGTCTGTCAACAGAAGGTGGACATCAATAAAAGGAGGGGCTTGCACAATCAATCCAGAAAGTCAGCAATCTATGAATAATCCAGAACTGAGTATTAATCTCCTCTGACACACACCCTCCCTCCCAGCCAGTGAGCAAGATAATTACTCTCAAGTCAAGCTAAGTGCCCCCCAGTCACAGTGGCCTAATGCTGGCATACAAAGCATACAAATAATTTTCACTCTGGCATAAAAGTAACAACTTTCTTGGAAGAAAAGCAGATACTGTAAATTTCTCAAAGTCTTCCTGAAACATTTTTTAAGTAATTTTTACTTCTTTAGACAAAATGCATACATGGCAAACCATCTGTAATAAAAGGCCCATTCTATAAAATTTTACCTGGTCTACTCATATCTTCAATCATAACCATATTTACAAACAAATATATCTATACTAATAAAAGAGTAATATGCTAATTAGACTGGGAGACCTTCCAGGAGACCTTCCAGTTGTTCTTCTGGACAATGCCATGGTGGTGGGGCCAAGGTAGAGGAGGTTAGAGGCCAAGAGGGGAGGGCAGTTGTGGGTGATCAAGCTGGTGGGGGATGGGGCCGTTGGGGGTAAGCAGACCAGCAGGGGGGCCAGTTGGGGGCAAGCAGGCCATCAGTGGGGGTCAGTTGGAGGTGATCAGGACAGCGGGGGGGGCAGTTTGGAGTGAGCAGGCCAGCAGGGGGACAGTTTGGGATGAGCAGGCCAGTGGGGAGGGAAGGTAGGGGTGAGCAGGCCAGCAGGGGGGGAAGTTTGGGGTGATCAGGCTGGTGGGGGGGCATTTGGGGGCAAGCAGGCTGGCAGGCAGAGTGGTTAGAGGCAATCAGGCAGGCAGGCAGGCAGGTGAACGGTTAGGAGCCAGCAGTCCCGGATTGCGAGAGGGATGTCCAACTGCTGGTTTAGGCCCGATCCCTGTAAACTGGCAGAACATTTTTTGAGGGGTCCCAAATTGGAGATGGTGCAGGCCAGGCTGAGGAACACACCCTCCCCTGTGCATGAATTTCGTGCACTGGGCCACTAGTAAAAATATAAATAAACCTGTTAAATTTTTCTGGACAATGCCAGCATTTGGATTTTTTTAAAACAAGTAAATTTCTTATTGATGGCAACTAAATGGTGTTTGTAACATTTTTATCATACAGTAGATTCCATCCTTTCGCTATACTTTTCTAACTTAGTTGTCCTACATGCAAGTACATATTTTTAATGTTGTCTGTCTTCTGTGCTGTTCCTGTAAGTTTGCTATTAAAATACATTAAACTATAAAAAAATCACTCTAAATATAAATGGCTTAACTGCTCCAATAAATAGACATAGGGTAGCTGATT